TGCGCACCTCGACGCATGCGATTGACTTTGGCGACGTGCGTCTCGATGAGGTGGCGGAGCGGCCGCGTGCGAACCGCCGCACGTTCACCCTGAAGAACGCGTCGGATTTGGCGGTCAATTTCCGCGTCGTGGCATCTTCGCCGGGTGCCGCCTTCGCGGTGGAGCCGGTGGCGGGTCAGCTGCCGCCGAAGGGGGCGGTGCGGCTGCGCGTGGAGTTCCGCCCAACGCACCCCATCAACTACTTGCGTCGGCTCCTCATTCTCGCAGAGAACGTGGACAACCTGCTCTATGTTGATGTCTTTGGCTCCGCCTACGACACTCTCGTACGTCCTATGCCGTTCGGTGCAAAGGAGGTAGAGGCGTTTTTTATGCGACACGAGTGCGGCCTGGCGGGGGCCGAACCGAACGATCTCGTCGCCATTGCGGACGCCATGCGTGTTGGCCGCACCTACGACGAGGTGGCCCACTTGTTGTTGCCCGCGGAGACGGAACTGCTGCCACAGTCATTGGGGTATAGCAACACCGGCGGCACGAGGGCGAGGCGAAAAGGGCGGCTCGATCTCGCGTATCTGAAGTTCCCTTTTTCCGCAAATGCACCCTTCCACTTGAGCGCAGAGACGCTGCTGTTTCCGAGTGACAGCTGCGAGCCGCAGAGCATCACGGTGTATAACAGGACAAACTCCCCCGCTACGGCGTACTGGTGCATCCCCAGTGACTCCGCTTTCTGTGTTGTGCCATTACACCAAGACGTGCCACCGAGTTCGTACTGCACGTTCACTTTGTCAATGACCTCAGGGGGACTCCTCCCTCTTGACGATCAGTTTCTTGAGTGCTACGTCAACTACAAGCAGATGCGTTCATTTCGGCTCGTTGAGGATGGGGGATTTACACCACCACACTTTTTTACGCTTCGCTGCCAGCGAGAGCTGGCAAGCCGTAAAGCCGACGAGGGCACAATCGCACCCCTTGTGAAGGTCTGCAGTTCTGTCACGTTTCCCACATGCCGCGCCGGTGACACCGTGCATGCTGTCCTCAACCTGGAGAATTGCGGTGACGTGGCGGTGATGTTTACGGTCAGCGTACGCATGGACACCTTTGAGCCCAAGAACGGCGCAAAGGAAAAGGAGGATGAGGAGGAGTCGGCGCCCAGCGCGCAACTCTTTACCTGCAGCCCCACCAGCGGCCTCATGCCGCCGCATGGCCGGGCTCCCGTCGTGTTGTCGTTTCAGCCATCCAGCGCCGCGCGATTCCGCGGTAGGGCGGTGGTGCTTCTTAACAATAGCCCAAAGGACGAGATCACAATTGCCCTTCGCGGAGAGAGCTTTTCGCTGGAGCTCGTCATTGAGGACAACTCCATGATTGTGTTTCCACCCACGTGCGTGACGGGTGCGGCGCGACGCCAGCTGAAGATCTTTAACCCGACGTGCATCCCAATTGCGTTCGATGTGCAGCCCTCCTCAGAGCTCGCTGGTGCTGTTCAAATTGACCCCATCTACGGTGTCCTCGGTGCTGGTGACCGAACAGAGATTTCTTTGCTCTTCACCCCGAGCGAGGCGGAGCTGTACGAGGGCCATGTGAACTTCTGTATTTACGACAATGAAAAGGCACAGGCGGCGGCTGCACACGGTGACGTGAGTGGGGCAGAAAAGACCCGGAAAATCGTCTCGTGCCCCTGCATGGGTGAAGGTCGTTACGCCGTTGTTGAGGTGGAGCCAGTAACAATGGAACATGAGGGTCCTGCCATGCAAAAGCAGACTTTTGAGTGGACTATTTACAACAGCAGCGTGTGTGAGGTCTGCTACGAGGTTCGCTGGTTGTCCAAGACGGGTGCGAAATGTTGGCAGGGTCAAGAAGCGCCACCTGTGCAGCTGAGCAATAACAAGTCTGGCACACTGGCGGCACGTTCCCACACAGTGGTACTCGTCACTCTACGTCCCCCAGCTGGAGTCTCGGAGTACATCTTGTATACACTTGTAGGTGGAAGCGGGGTGTCGCTGGAGACCATCCCGCACCCTGTGAATCTGCACGAGGTACGGCAATACCCACACTGTGAGGTACTGCTGAAAGGTACACGGCCGGCTGTTCAAATTACTGATGTACGTTCGTTACAACAGCACCGGTCTCAGTTGTGGTGCCAGATGGCTATTAATAGCGTTAATGCAGTTCTTGCCGCACCAGTGGAGGCGATCGATGTGGAGAGCGATTCATTTGCCTTTCCGCAGTACATCAAGGGTCTAGAGCCGATTTTCATGGATGTTGGTGTGGGAAGCGTTCTCCACGCAAATAAGGAGGTGCTGATACGTGTTGAGAATGCTGGATCGTGTCCAGCTTCCTTCCGCTTTTGGTACCCCACTGAGCATGAGGGCGGTAACGAGACATGGTTCATTGAAGACGAGGAGCTGGAGGATGTGCAGCGCATTCTCGCCAACAGGCTGCTGGAAATCTCCCCGCAGGAGTGTACCATTCCTGTGGGCTCGCACAAACTGATTTCCATCACGTACCGCCACACCGTTGTTGGAACTCATTGCCTACCGGTGTTACTCCGCCTTAACGAAGGGAAAAAGGTATTGCTGGTGTTGGAGGGTCGCACCGTTCTGCCCGATACCAATGCACTGGCCTTCCACCATCCTTCCTTGTATAACCTTCACCCAGTGGCGCTTGGCGATGTAGAGCCACCGCTGCAGTCCACGACGATTGAAAATACGGCGTCGCAGGCTGTGGAATACATTGTACAAGAGGACCTGTTGCAGTCAGTAGCGGAGAAAAATTGCGGTTTTCCGGTCTTCCAGTGTCTGAACCCAACCGGCGTAATTCCCGCCGGTGGCGCTGTGCAGCTCAACTGGTACTTCCGCCCACTGGAGGCGCGTGGGTACCGCATCGACGTGTCAATGCGCACAGTGAACGGTGAAGAATACACGGTGCAATTTGTCGGCTTTGGTTACCACCCGAAGATGATAACGCCAGAGGCGTCTCGTGCGGTGATAAGTGATGCCTTCTTGCCCATTCCTGTCTTACCGGCGCTGCGTCTCCCCATTGAGAGGTGCCCCGTCACGCTCTCACTGGGCGTCATGCGTGTTGGGCCTGCGCCGTGCTTCTCGCTGCATCGGCGTGTATGCTACCTTGAGAACCGACACAGCTGCCACACGTACTCTTTTGCGTGGAAAACAAAGTTAGCGCCAGGGAGTTCGAAACTGCAGGTGACGCCATCCAGTGGTGTTCTCGGACCGGGAACGCGGGTGCGCTGCCGCCTCGCGCTGTACTGTGGAAGTCTGAGTCAGGTTCTCGAGACACCTGTTTCCTGCCATATCCACAACGAAACAATTGCTGCTGCTGCTGCTGCTGGTGGTGGTGGTGGTGGGCAGAACCCACCGATTATGGAACCCGTCTCGACGGAAGAAGAATCAGCAGAAAGCGGAGAGGTGGAAGAGGAACTCTTGGATGACCCACTGCTGGATGCCAAGACCCCACCACGCAGTCGTGGCTTTGAGCGCTCCACGTGCACGAAGTTGCGACAAGCAGGGTCTAATAAAAAGCGCCTGCCTGTAACTGTTATACCCCCAGAGTTTCAAAGTGTTCGTGTTTTAGCAGATGCTGCGGCTTCCCATGCCGCAGGCTGTCAGCAGCCCCCCGCTGAAGAAGGGCCTGTTGCGCATCACTCACTTGAGCTGCTGGTACAGGCGCGGATCATGCCCATCGAGACTTATGAGCAAATTTATGGCAGTCGGAACCTTCAGCAGACGTACTTCCCCACGCTCTGCCATAATTACGCAGATCCCGCCGCCCTTCATGAGGCACGAAAGCAGCGCAAGAATGATGTGAAGGCGCATTCCCGCGAGGAAGCGGCGGTGGCGTTAAAAGTGCTGGACGGGCTGCTGCGGACCATTATTGACCGCCCCCAGGTGCGTGCTGCATTCACGGAACACATCCAAGAGGAAGTGCCATACTACCGAGAGATTGTAGCCGCCAGCGTTGACGCCTCTGCAGGCCCTGGGGCTGAGAAGCCGCTCCGCAGTTCTGCCACGAAGCGCGGCACTCCGCAACGTCCCCTGCCCGAAGAACCGGCGGCAAAAACAAAACCGCAAACGCCGCCGTTGTTGTCGCTAGCGCCTGCAGCTCGGGATTCAGTTTCGAGGCCGACGATGCGACATGGCGGCGCCATGCTTAACATGGTGGAGGAGCTGCTCGCCGATGTAGCCCTTCACATCGTTGACACCGTCTCGGGGGATATGCAGTCCTCTTCCAGTACAGGCATCACGGGGACGAAAAACTAGTTGCACGGGAAACCGTGACTCTTGTACGTCCAACAATGTAAAACGTGAACCATTGATGTGAAAGCCCACACTTCAGTGATATCAGCGACGCTGGCATCTTACCCCTTTTTTTTTCACACCTGTACTGCTTGTTAGCAATTGGTTCTGCTCCATTTCTACTTAATTACCGTTTCTCTCGTAATTTTTTCTTTCTTCTTATCTTCTTTCGTGTGCCGCTGCAGTTCAAGAAAACAGCATGGTCTTCCAGAAGAAGAAGGCGGAGGTGACGGTCCGCACCTCGCAGTTCAAGGTGAACAAGCTGCTGAGCCGCAAGCAGTTCATCGTTGAGGTGAACCACCCCGGCTGGTGCGGCACCGTCCCCGCCAAGCTCATCCGCTCCCGCCTCGCCTCGCTCTACAAGGTCGCCGACGAGAACCAGATCTCCGTCTTCGGCTTCAAGACGAAGTTTGGTGGCGGCAAGACGACCGGCTTCGGCCTCATCTACGACGACCTGGCCGCGCTGAAGCGCGTGGAGCCGAACTACCGCAAGGCGCGTCTCGGCATGGGCAAGAAGAAGCTGCCGGCCCGCAAGTCGGTGAAGGAGCGCCGCAACCGTAACAAGAAGATCCGCGGTAAGGCGAAGGGCAAGATGCAGACCAAGAAGAAGTAAGCACCGGCTGGCCCCAAGAGGAGGTGTGTGGCGAACGCGGTCATGCTGTTGCCTTCAATGCCATGATTTGTTTACAAATTCCTTTTTTTTTCTGTTCTAAACGACACTGCTTGGCTCGGGGGCTCATTCNGCCTTCAATGCCATGATTTGTTTACAAATTCCTTTTTTTTTCTGTTCTAAACGACACTGCTTGGCTCGGGGGCTCATTCTGCTTGCGGATTCAAACCACACTGGAGGAAGCTGTACTTACTCACCGCAATTTTTTTTGTTTTTATTTTTGTTTTGATCTCAATCTTCCAGTGCGTAGCATTAAGGCAGTGTAGCAGTTGATCGTCGATGGGATAGTTTACCCCGACACGCCACCACGTGTCATGGATGTCGGCTCGTCGCCTGCATGCTGCTGCCATCAGCCGGGGAAAGCCGCCGCGTCGCGCCAGAGTGACAGGACACTAAACAAGCCAAAAAAAAAAACAAAGAAAAAAGAAAATAGCTTAGCTGCGTGCTCCACTGCATTTTTCTGTTCCTTCTCCACATTCTACCTGACAGTTGATGCTTGTTGGGACTTCTTTCCTCTGCTTGGGTTTCCTACCAGTGATCGGAGTGGGGTGCTGCCCCCCTCAAACCGTACACAAGAATATACACATCATCCACTGCAGAAAAAAAAAAATAAGGAACGAGACGGGAAAAGAAGAAAAAAAACTAGTTTGCTTCGGGCATACATGAAAGAGGTGGCAGCTGGAGGTAAAATTACCAGTGTCACGTTCCAGTGGGCACGTGCTGGTAAAATGTACACTTTACAGGGCTCTCGGGTGGTGCACCACGGTGGTGGTGAGAGCCCCTACCGGCCAGTGGTGGGGGATTTGAAGATGGCGCCAGACCAGGGTAAGTTTTTCTACGAGATTAGGACCAACAACGACAACTGCAAGCTTGGCGTGTGCGTCGCGGACGCGTTTCAAACGGATAATGAGTTGCGGAACGTGGAGCTCGGCACGAGGTATGATCCCTCCACGCGCAACAAACTGCCTTCCCCCACCAAGTGCTGGGTGCTGAACTGCCAGACCTCTGCGGTGGAGGTGAACGGGGAGGAGCGGAAGAGGCTCTGGCGCTTATTTGTCCCTGTATCGGGTGCACGCTTCGGGTTTCTCGTAGACACGAATACGGGGGTTGTGCAGTTGTACGTGAATGACGAGTACCAGGGTATTTTATTTGACGAGACGCTGGAACTAAAGGGCAAAGCACTTTGTCCGTGCATTGGACTGGCAGGGATGGACATGAATAACCGGAACATTGGCGCTGGAAACAAGAGCGCCTGTGTGAGCCTCGCGAAGCGATGTCCTGTGGGTGGGGTGTGAGCCTATTACCATTGGGGAGGGGTGTGTGCGTCTGTGTCTGCACCTATGTATGTGTCTTTCTGTGTGTGGTGGCTGGCGAAGGGCACATGCCGCTTGATGCGGGTGCGATGCGCCTAATGTCTGCCTTCTGTTTTGCCTTCCCCTCCCCCCCTTGGAAGAAATCCGTGTATGTTCCGCTGTGTGTGTGTGTGGGTGGGTGCTTCGCTTCTACTCGCCACTGTGTGTCGTGCCTGCGTCTCTGGTCCGCCCTCTGTGTGAGTGTATACTTGTGCTTCTTGGTGTGCCTCTTCCAATGCAGCTGCTGCTGTTCACACTAAAAGAGAGAAAAGAAAAACAAAGCAAACCACAAAAAAAAAGGGTTAGATGAGCCAAAGGGAGGACTGTGTGATGGAATCCGAAATCGGTTCAGTGCCACCCGATGGACAGCGAGGGCTCGACGAAATGGCTGACACCCCGGAAGTGGAGAATGATGAGGTGGCAGAGACGCAGAAGGAAGACGCCGATGAGAAAAAAAGGAAGGCGAAGCGCCCAAGTGCCCCCAAATGTGATCTCTGCAATGAAACGCTGCATGAGGAGGAAGAGGTGCACCAACAATGCCATCACGGAACGTTTCACCGCTGGTGTGACATCCTCCTCTCCAAGAGAAAAAACGAGGTGCTCATGTTAAACATGTCTTCTGAGCACGTCGCCGCACTTGGCACCTTCGTGGTGGAGAGTGTCGTAGGCTTTGACAAGGGCCGGGAGGCATTCAAAGTCATTCAACGTGCTTCCCAACAGCTAAATGACATCTTCGAGTGTTTGCTGCCTGGAACGCAAGTATTTTTGTTCGGAAGTTGCGTGGCGTCGGGCTCGTGGGATGGCGCGGGGGATGCCGACTTCACCGTGTTGCAGCCACAGCGACTGAGCGAAGGCGATTGGCCTCCACCCGATGAGGCCAAATTCATCTTGGGGATTTCGAGAAAACTGTGTATGGCCGGCTTTTTGTTTAAAGAACTGGAACCGGTTCTTCGTACGCGCGTGCCTGTTGTGAAGCGGGTGCAGGAAGTGCGGGCGCCGCTGCGTATTCCGGTGGACGGGGACACTTACAAAATTGTCTACTCTTACAACCAGGAGTCGGCTGCACGGGATGTCGACGAGCTTGTCAACAGACTGCGGGCAAACGGTGCCGAGGTCAGGCGCACCCAGGCTGGCAAGTTGACGGCGTGCTTCAAAAGCGCCTCAGAGGCTCTGCACCAATTTTCCAAAAATGAGAGACGTGACCCGTTGATTGTAGCCAAGGCGTGGAAGCCGTATCAACCGCTGCCGGAGATTTTTTCCATTGACTTTGATATCAGTTGCAGACCATTTGGGGTGCGAAACAGCTGGTTTATGCGGCAGTACCTCTCGCAGCGCCATGAGGTTCGTGCTGGGTGCGCCTTCTTGAAGCGATGGAGCAAGCAGTACGGAATTAACAACCCCGTAAAGGGCTACCTCACGTCCTATGCCGTGATGAATTTGTGGCTCTGCTTTCTGCTGCACATTGGGTTTGTGAAATACGTTGACCCTGCGTCTGTGCCGCTCGAGCCATGCAGCGAGTGGCTGCAAGTGCCGTACCTGCCGCTGCTCCGGGATGACAATGATGTCTCAGTCGATGCTGTGTCGCAGTGCTCGGGGCTGGAGGCGACGCGAGGAGTGCTAGGCGATCTCGTGGCGAAGTTTTTCCGCTTCTACGTGGACTTCGAGTGGTGCGAGAATGTTGTGACGCTGCGAAATCCGGATGGGCTGACGTCCTGTGCTAGCCTCGGCTGGATTGAGGAAAATGAGCTGAGGACGGGCAAACTGAGGGACCGCGTGTGGTACCGCATGTGCATAGAGGACCCGTATGAAGACAAGCTCAATCTTGGCCGCCACATCTCTCCCCATAAGTTCGCTTTCGTCCGGGCGCAATTCGTGCGCGGCCTCGAGATGGTGCTGCGTGGTCACCCAGAGCGTCTCTTCTTGGACGAACGGCGGCTGGCGATGGACACACTGCCTGCACTACTGCACCGTGCTCTGTACGAGGAGGGGCTCGCGGCGATGTCGCTGACCGAGGCGCGGGAGTTTCTCATTTCGCGTGCGGGAGAGGCGGTGCTGGGTGGGTACGAAGTACATCACACGCTGGGTTCACTCTGTGATATGATGACGGTCATTCGCAAGAATAACGAGAAGGCTGGTGGAGATGCTGGAGAAGATGGCAACAATAGTGCTGCTGCTGTTGTTGCTGACGCTGAGAGACCACCGTCTCCCCATTCGTGTATGAGCGCCACTGATGAGCACTTGCGTACCGCAGGTGCTTTCGGCATTCCTGCCGCCAAAGTGCCTAAAGGTGTGCGGGGCGCGTACTTCTTTGCGTGTGGCCGCGCGTTCCTCACCGCGGAGGAGCGGGCCGTCGCTCAGCAGCACGCCGCGGCCGTGCTGAGCGCCCTCGCCTCTGGCTTCTCAACGCGCGAGTCGGTGCAGGCGGCCGTGCGATGCAATCTCCCCACAGCACTGCGCAGCGATGCGCTGGTGGACGCCCTCCTCGTTGAGAAGGACGGGAGCGTGTGGGCGGCGGCCGGCGTGGAGGAGGCCCCTGTGCGGGTCGTTGTGCGGAAGAAGGACGCGCCGCGGCGGTACAACAAGCGGGCCGACGTGCGGCGGGNGTGCGGCGGGCGAAGCAGAGTGGGAGCGGTACGTGTACGCAGTGCGGGAAGCCGAACACCACAGTATGGGGGACGGACCAGCCAAGAGTGGACTCGGGCATGTACTGCAATGCTTGCTGGTGTATCTACGAAAGACCGAGGTGAGGGGGTTATGCCGTATCACATCTAACCTTTTTTTTTGCTTTGCGAAGACCAACAAGAAGCACAGAATAATTGTGTCTTTTCACAGCAGGGCCTTGATGGGAGACGGCTATTGCCCCTTTCTTCTTCGAACTGGATGAGGCATCGCAGCGCCACTGTGATGTGCTCTTCTAAGATTATTTGATGCGGGCGCCGGTGGGGACTTCTTTCCCTGCGAGCTTGCAATAGGAGTCTTCCTTTGCATTTTTTCTGCGGGACGGAGGAGCTGACCGACTCCCTTCCCATCTTTTTACCGTTTCAAGGAATGTTGCGGGGCGTGGGCCTTTGAAGGGCTGCCCAACCCATCTCTCTCTGCTTTGCGCGGTCGGCAGGTTGAAGACGCTTTTAGAAACTTCCTTTTCATTGAGTTCAACAAAGGATGCATAAATAAGACGCCCTTTCGGACTTCTGGCTTGAACACCACGTGTGGCAAGGACAGGATGGGAACAATGCCATTTATACATCTATACATATATATATATATGTATGTATACATATATATATCTCTTCTTTCTTTTCTTTAGGGGGAGTAGGATCTAGATTAGTCCTTTGTTTCCCGGCAGCGCCTTGCTGGTGGGGGCGCGTGGGCGAAGTGACGGCTCTGAGGCTGCTCCCTCTCCACGAGTGATCTTCACTCAGTTGCATTTTCGTGTTCCCTATCGCTCTCCCCTTCAATGGCGCTTGTTGAAGAATGGTGACAAACGTAATGGAGGGGCGTCTTTCCGGCGCCGTCGGGCCCCCGCATGCCCACGGCTGTCTAGTGCATTGCCCCGAGACTCCGCGGCGCAACCGCCGCTCCTCCTCCTCCTGTTTCTCTCTCTGCTTCCCTGGGGGGGCGAAAACGTCTGCTACGCGGTGCGGTCGGAGTGCATTTCGGTCTCGAGCTGCATCACCAAAGCGACGTGAGATGTCGTGTCTCTCTCTCTCTCTCTCTCTTCCCCCCCCCTTCTCAATCTCCTACTAATTCATTGACGTGCTCATCCATTCGTGCGGGTAAGCGGTGTTTCTGGGCGTGGGGTGCTGAATAACAACCGGTGCATCTTTTTGCGCAAGTAGATGCCGCGAGAAACAACGCAACGGGCAACGGGTGCCGAACTGGCGGTGGTGACGCATGCGTGAAGCTGTGCGTGTCTGCTCTTCCTTCCTTCCTTCCTTTCTTTGCTTTGTGTTGAAGGCGGAAGCCCACTTGCCTTTGTGTGTGTGTGTGTGTGTGTGTGCGTACTCCTTTCCTTTCATGCTCTCTGTTTTAGATCTACCTGAGCGCTGCGGCTATGAGTACGCCAACGGCGGCGGAGCTGCAGCAGCAACTCGACGCCCTTTGCAAGCGTCACGAGGAGGAGGTGCAGCAGAAGATCGCCGTGTTTGAGAAGATCAATGCGGAGATGACGGAGATGCAGGAACTCACTGAGACGCTGGAGAAGGAAGAGCGGGAACTGGAGCGCCGATTCGGCGCGAGACACCGCCGCGAACACCACGAGAACACTGGCATCGTGTTGCCGCTAATCAGCAACATTGTACTTGGCCTGGTGGACGCTGACGATGCGAGGTGTAAGAAGCGCTAAGGAAAAGCGAATAATCCTTGCTTGGCTGGGGGAGCGGCATGATGTTGGTGTTGCCAGACGCTTCTTTCTTGCGCTATGCGGTATCCACGAGAGGCGTGTGGATGACCTTCCTCCTGTTGAGGGTGTGAGCTTGGCGGGAGGGAATTCACTTCCCTAACAGCCACAGCCACGTGAACAACGGCCTTCTTGTCCCTTTTTATCTTAAATCGATGAGTGCGTAAAAAAATTAGGAGAAGTGGAAGTACCACGCTTTTGTATTCTTTGCCAGCGGAGGGATGTATCGACTCCAAGCCTTTGTGGCGGTTTTGACTGCGGGACTACTGGTGCTGGTGTGCAGCAGCAGCGTGGCCGCGCCAGTGCACCCGTCTGTCATCCCTGAACGTGCTCGCGGCGGCCTGGTCTACCGTGAGGCTGTCCGCCATGCGAAGCAGCAGCAGCAGCAGCGCCGTCCGCTCGGTGGCGCTGCCGATCCCCCTGTGAATTACTATGAGCAACAGGTGGACCACCAGGACACTAGCGCCGGCACATTCAAGCAGCGCTGGTGGGTGGACCGCAGCTTCTGGAGCGGCGAGGCAGGTCCCGCTGTTCTGTACATCAACGGCGAGGCTGCCGCGTCGCCGACGCCACGTGGCTCCGTTGAGGTTTACGCCTCCAGCGCCAAAGCCGTTGTTTTCTCCCTCGAGCACCGCTTCTACGGCGAGAGCATGCCCGCACCGCTCACGAACCGGTCGATGCTAAAGTACCTGACAGTGGAGAACGCGCTTGCGGACCTGCGGGCATTCAAGCAGTACGCGGAACGACATGTGCTGCAGAAGAAGGTGAAGTGGCTGCTTGTGGGCGGGAGTTACGCCGGGGCGCTGAGCGCGTGGGCGAAGGCCGCGTACCCAGAGGACTTCGATGCGGCGTGGAGCAGCAGCGGCGTGGTGAACGCCATCTTCGACTACTACGCGTTTGACGGGCATCTGCTCAACGTTCTCCCCCCCGTCTGCGCCGCCGCCATCCGCAGCGTTTTTGACGAGTTCTCCGCCGCCTACGACGACCCGATGCGGCGCCCGCGCATGATGCAGATGCTCGGCACACCGAGTTACTTCACCAAGGCGGACATCGCGTGGATGCTCGCGGACGGCTCTGCGATGGCGGTGCAGTACGGCTTCAAGGACCAGCTCTGTGCGCAGATGCAGACGGTCAACAAGAGTGACCCCTTCGGGCAGTACGGCGACTTCATCAGGTCGCTATGGGGCGAGCCGTTCACGCGTGAGTGCTACTACAGCACCGAGTGTTTGTCGAACGCAACTTACAGCGATCAGTGGGGCTCCAACTACGCGTGGGTGTATCAGTGCTGCTCCCAGCTGGCGTACTGGCAGACGAGCTACCCCAACAGCCTGCGGCTGGCTGATGTCACCACGGCATACTTTATTGCCCAGTGCCGTGCCGCGTTCGGTGCGCACATACTACCGGACACGTTCGCGTTCAACGAGCGCCACGGCGGTCCACGCCCTTCCGCCACGCACGTTGTGGCGACACAGGGCTCCGACGACCCGTGGATGCCGGCCGGCGTGACGCGGTCGCTAGGCGGCGAGTACCCGGAGATCACGGCGCAGTGCAGCGGCTG